GAGAACACAAACATACAGTTTGACATATACGGTACCACACCCCCCACCCCTCCACACCCCCCCCCCCCCCGCCCCCACTCTCCCTTCCTAAAAAGCGTAAGGGCAAGCCTCTCTACATTCATCCTGATGCTATAGGGAACAACACCACAGCCAGGCCTTCAGATTCGTTTCAGGGCACGCCAATCACTCAGTGTCCCAGGAGGCCAAACACTGATTTCCAGTGTCGTCATAATGAAAACGCTGATTATTCAGAGTACAGAAAATAAAAACGCTGAACAATCAGTGGTGTTATTCATTGTTACACTGATTGTTACCGTACCTTGTGTACTCAAGTCAAAGGACTTAGCTTTGCGAGGAATCTGGTCAATCATCGCTCATAGGCTCCCGCCCGACAAAGATGCACTTTACGTGCCATACTTGACTGCCTGCCTTGGGAAATGCCTACATCCCGTAGTAAGTCACGGCCCCAATCACGCGAAAGGGAAATTCGAGAATCCACAGCCATCCTGAATTTCCATGGCATATCAGATGACAGCATCATGAGATTACAGGGTAAAAGTAACACCACTCTGAAATTACGGGGCAAACTCAAAACTGCATCTTGAAATCAGGGTAATCAGGATGTTTTGCCCTGATATCGCGGGGCCTGCTCTGTAGCAGCAATTGCGCAATAGCCAGGCCTCTCGATATCAGGGTGAAACACCCTTATGGCCCTTACTATAAGGGTGGGTTTAGGTGATCACCCTTGTTTTTAAAACTTGTTTTATGAGGCACCCTTAGCCGAAAAAGTGTTCATTTTGTTAAAACTGATTTTTAAGACAGGCCTGGTGTACTCGCCCTAATGACAAAGACTAGTGTCGCGTACCACCCTTATGCGATTTCACGCGGCGGGGGGGGGGGGGGGGGGGGGGGGGGGGGGGGTTTCGGACGAGATTTGGGCCGTGATTAGCGGCGTTTTGCCTGAGTCAGCAGATGTGCGCGTCGCCTTGACGGCTCGCGTCGCCACTGCCACAGGCTCGTCAACTGTACCTGGCTCACCTGCACAATCTTCCCAGCTGGCAATGCCGCGCAGCGACACACACACCTGCTTCGTGCAGGAGGTGTGTCCAGCATGGAAGCTTCTTCTTCCCTCCCCAGCAGGCCCCCACCCACCGACCAGTCTCTCCCACGCACCCAACCCAGTCCTCCTCGTCTCATTTCTCAATTCTGCCTTCTCGCTATCTCGTCTGGTCTAGGGTTTGCACACCACCCCACCACCACGCTCTCCCAACAACTAGCGTAGGCCCAGCTCCTGCAACCACCCCTCTGGCCCTCGCCATGGCTGCTGACGAAACCACCGATGGTGACGACGAGGCACGCCGTGAACTCCAAAAATCACCCCCGCGTACGGGCCTCAGCTTTCTACGAACCCCCGCTAAGAAACTGTCAGATCCGGAGCCCGTAGTTGCTTCAACCGAGGACGAAACCCGCGCGGATGAATCATGGCGTGACCTGCGCTCACCTGAAGTTTGCACTACCACGGCGGAACCCTCACCTCCAAAAGCGACGGCTCCTGAAACGGAGATAGGCGATGCGGCTGGCGACTCTGCAAACAAGAAGCGCAAAGAGTCAAGCGGTGGCAGTGCTAAGCAGTGGTGGCGACAACCGAAGCCTTCTGTGAAGCGGGCGGCACGTCCAATCCGACGAGTGGAGGACGAGGGAAGTGATGACGAGGAGGAAGAAGACGGCCTGCCGACTGTCGAAGAGATGGCCCATTAACCCGAGGTCGCTTTCGCTAAAGCGCATAAGCGATTTAAGACTTCATGGGAGTCTTTGTTTCCGTGGCTAATTTTAACTCGTGATGACGTTGGCTTCCCCATTTTGAGATGCAGCACGTGCTTGGAACATGGAGCTGAAGGCGCAAAAACGGCTTACGGCAAGGGAGGCAGTGGAGGGCGTGACATGCAGAAGGGGAGCATCCGGACGCACCAGCGCTCCACCGCACACCAGGACGCACACGCCGAGATGAAGTCGAAGGAGAGCCGGAAGCTTCGTCAAACGCTGCTGAGCGAGTTCGAGGGGTTGGATCACAGCACTCTTCACATCATCACCGCTCTCAAGACTACCGTGTACATCTGCAAGGGGGAGGCGCCAATCACCTCCTACGTGGGCACCATCAAGTTCATGGCCGAGCTCGGAGTCCCGAACCTTCCCTTGGATTCCAAGGGAAACTACTTTTCGGAGTAAGTTTCGGGGTACTTGGTGTCGTTGTACTTGTTCCGTTACAACTGCCTTGATTGATCACGTGCTAACCTCTGTGCTTGTATCATGCAGGTACGGTTTCGGGGAGCTGCTAGATGCTGCTGCGAAGTACATGCGGCAAGAGCAACTGAAGCAGATCGAGGCGAGCCCGTACTGAGAGTTGCGTTACGTGGACTGCGAGGATCGTTTCGGCAACAATCAGTCGCCCCTGCTCTGCGCGTTCCTGAAGAAACACGGCAACCTCGAGCACCGCGAAGTCACCGTCAAAGGCGTGGACCAGAACGGCGAAGCTGCAGAGCACGAGTTCGTGCTTCACGAGCGCAAGATCCCAGGCCATAAGACTGGCGGGGACTACTACTCCTGCAAGGCGGTGTGCCAGGAGTTTGCAAGGGTCTGCGTTGCGCGACTGGAGTTCCGCCTGGAAGACCTCAAGAACCTGGCCGGCTCCAAGCTATTCCGGCCATCGTGCTATCCCGACGACAACGCGCAGCGGATGAAGAAGTGCCGCGAGTGGTTGGGCATGCTAGACCACATGTTTCACCACCGCCTCTTTGGTACGCCACCCACCTGGTTGTGCCTGCAATGTGCTGTCTGCTGTGTGTGTGTGTGTGTACCTTGGTGTGCTGTTAAACACCTCCTATACGCCCCGATCGCCCCTCTCACTGCTCTGCTCTCCCATCCTGGCAGGTGTGTGCTTCAAGGCGTGCGAGAGGGAGCTACCGTTGTTTCTCCACACCATGGATACCAACCACGGGAACATGAGCTTCCACAAGTCGCTCTCGCTCATGCTCCAGTCAACTGACTACATGGGAGCGTACCCGAACCTTGTGCAGCTGTGGCAGGCCGTAGCTGTGCTCCCCCTCAGCACGGTGGAGTGCGAGCGTGGCTTCAGTCGCCAGAACCGTATCAAGACGTGGAAGCGGACCTGCCTGGGCGACGCCAAACTGGGCGATCTGATGACTGCAGCGCTCCTGCCCAGTGATGGTATGAACTGGGTGAATGTGGTAGCCGTGTTCAATGCTAGCAAGAAGCGCCGTCCTGCCCAGGAGTTTCTGTATTGACTTGTGCTGCTCTGCTCCCTGCTAGGAGTATTCTGGTGGAACCGGACCAGGCCAGACCATCCCATATGTAGGTCCTGTTGTTGTTCTAGTGCTAGTCATATATTTTATTGTTCTTTGCACGTCATGTCAACCTAAAAATTAAGCGTTGGTTTTAAAAAAATGGTACAACTAACCGAGGTCCACAGTACACTGACGAGCACGAGTAACAATGCAGCCAACACTGATACACAAGACTGACATGGCTGCCCCACCCTTACTGAAAGACCAGCTTTGGCAACCTGCCCTTTCGACTAAGAGTGCTATCCAGAGGCCTGGCAATAGCCATTGCATCACTCTGAATGAAGTCCTTACTGTATCACCGGAAGACAGGTATGTGAGGCACCATAGGCTGCACATGCACACATGTGTCTAATAATCAGGAACACTCATATATAAGAAACACCACAATCAAAGACACCTCCTGTCTTCAATTTGACACTGTCTTATATCCGGGTGATGACGGTAGTACGGGGGCCTGAAAAAAAATACTTACCATCCCCCGTATATAGGACCCCCCCCAGTTGTAGACCCCCGGGTCTATAATACGGACCCGGGTACTCTATTCGAGTACATCTGAGTTATACCCCCTAAATGCCCCCTAACATTATAAGACCCCCCCACATCCTAGAGAAGTGTGGATTTTACAAACAATCAATTGTAAATGGTCATAATCCGTGCCAGAATGCAGTAGGGGTGTCTGGAAGATCCCGCCCTTTCCAGGACTGTGCAGCCCGCACGAAGCGTGCATGGGGTGTGAATGCCGAGGCCATCAAACGGTGCCCTGCGCTGTCGTGTGAACACCAAGTGGTGTTGGTGGCCAATGGGAGTAGGCTCCCAGATAGGGTTTGTGATGACGTGGATTCGGCCCGTGAGGAGACCAATTCGAGTTTTTTTGGGAGGAGCTAAAAACGGAGCAACTCCAAATCACTTCTTTGAGCTCCAAAACTACATTCTTATAAATGTCAATATGAACAGACCCGGGTCTTCTAAAAAGTATACCATATAATTATACCCCCCAGCCTTTTTAGGGGTGATTATCATAATACCCTAGGGTCTTATACACGGGGGATTACGGTATCATGTTTCCAAGCAGGCGATGGTGAACCAAATATCCAGCATGGCGAGTGTAACCACCCACGAGTAGTGTGTGCTGTCTGGTGACAAGTCAGGTCGAGGAAGCGTTAGAGAGGTCATTGGCACAAACCCCTCATATCCTTCGAGTCGCAGCAGCCTGAAGCATAGAACAACACCAATGCGAAGGAAGCAGATCACAACAGAAAGCAAGGGGATTAGTTAAAAAATATTCCGTACAGGAAGACCTGCTGTTGTGTCTTAACTTGCATGATCAATAAACTCAGATTTTTTTTTTTTTTTTTTTTTTTTTTTTTTGTTATTGGAGCAAGAAGCTGGCACTACCGCAAGATCCTCAATCTTTGCTCTTCCCTAAGGTTATGTTCAGTCACTCGCTGTTAGGGTTGCATGCAAAGGTTTGAAATAACTGTTCGGTTGTGGTTCAGCGCGGTTCAGTTTAGAGCGATGAGAGTCTGACATGAGGTGAGTGACATGCTTCTGGAACACCACCCACATGGAAGCTTCCTCCTGAAGCGCCACCTACCTGGAAGCTTCATTCTGATGCACCACCTACCTAAAAGCTTCCTTCTAACGCGCCACCCACCTGGAAGCTTCCTCCTCGAAGGCCATGCCGCGCACATTGTTGCTTCGGTTGATCACCCAGCGGGGCTTGATGTCCTCTCTGGCTGCCCACGGGCCAAAGAAGGTCACCCGCCGCACGTCCTGCAAGCGACGGTGCATGCTGGGCAGCAGGTGCGAGGCTGAGAGGCCAAGGAGGGGAACATGGGGACCACAGCACGGAACAGATGCTGAGACAGCATGAGACAGCATGTGGGAACACATGAGACAGCAAGGAGTGGAACAGGCGGCGGGCAGCATGCACTTGCACTTGAGAGAGCAGCAGGTGCGAGGCTGGGAGTGGATGTAGGGGAACGAGGAGGGAGTGCAATAGTAGCACGAATAGAATAAGGCTAAAACACCACAACACGAAAGTGGGAAAGTACGGAGATGCTCTGAACGCATGTGGGTTGCTAGAGTGCAAGCGCAACAAAATATCCAAGGACAAAAAAAAAAAAAAAAAAAAAAAAAAAAAACGACTGACACCTCATCCTGCACGCACTTGCGGCTTTTCGGTAGTCCAGTGTTGAGTTGAGTGAGGTGAGGTCATGCAGGGAGGCGCCAAAGGCAACAAGTTGGAAGGGTGTGTCTGGTCGGCTCAGCACCTCGCCTCCCAAGAGGCTCGCCTTGAACATCCACGCTGGCAGCACCTCCTGCACCGCCCCCATCTGTGCCACGTACGTCAGGTTGAACACAAAGGCCCGGCCGTTTCTGGTAACGTTGAACATGGGAGGGGCAAGGCAACGAGCGGTGCAGCATTTATTGAGAGTGAAACCAAAGACCGGAACGGGATAGCTGTTCAACACTCTCAAAGGCACTCCGCTGCAAGGGAGTCGCCCTCCATGCGACCCACGAGGCACCTATGGCCTTCCAACCCCCTTCTTTTAGCCTCGCCCTCTCAGCTTCCAGAAAGTGAGCCAAGGAGGCCCCCTTGAGCTCCTTTTGGTTCAAGGTTGGCATGCACCCACCCACCCACCCACCCGCCCCTGTCATCAAGGAAAGAAGCAAACAAAACAAAGAAAGAAACGGAACTATTGTCCGCTATTTGTCCTCCTCCAATTGCAAGCCGTTCACCAGAAGGTGTTAGGCGTTTCCCCTGCATGTGGAGCGTAGCGCCCCAGGGTTCCCTCGTGGGCACGAAGCCGTGGTCCAGTTCACCTGACTCACCTCGTCCCAGCCTCACCCCGTCCCAGCCTCACCCCGTCCCAGCCTCACCCCGTCCCAGCCTCATCCCGTCCCAGCCTCACCTGGTGCGCACGAAGCCATTATAGAGCGACCCGTAGTAGAAGGTGTTGACGAAGTGGGGTCCGCGCACAGGCATCCGCAACACCTTCTCGAGTCCACTCCCCGCGCTGCCGTTGAAGGGGTTCCAGACCTCGGGAAATCCATGGAACCCGTGAAAGCCCTGTGCCGGGGAGATGCGGGCGCACACAGGCATACAGGCAGACAGGCAGACAGGCAGACAGGCAGACAGGCAGGCAGGCAGGCAGGCAGGCAGGCAGGCAGACAGGCAGGCAGATGGCAGACGGTAGACGGCAGACAGCAGATAGATACCACATAGAGGACCAAACAGGTACTACAAGGCTTGCACGGTACACAGCATACATGGGGTTAAGCAGATGTTCAACTCAAGAATCGATTCCTTCACGATACACAAAATGCACGGGGTTGAGCGGCGGCAGTGAGGCATGAAGGCAGCAAAACAAAGGCACACACACACGGGGCTTGCTTGCCTTCATGTTGACCTTCTCGGAATCCACAAAGGCCGCGCGCGAGTGAGCGTGAAGGAAGACCTGGAGGAAGCCGAAGAAGTATCGCATCTCTGAGTCGCCTGCCGTACAATGTGTGCACAGACGACAGGAGGGGAGGAAGGTGTTAGAAGGAAATGCTGCCATGAGCAACAAAATGTCTGCGCTGGGATTTGAACTCGTGACCTTCAAATCTGTCCTGAACGTGTCTCAGGACAGATTCAGGACAGTTTCTGCTAAGGCGCTGGTTATGGTGCACACGAGTTTCGAACTGGAGACCTTTCGATTTAAGTGTTCCGAAAGTGTCTTGTCAGGACAGATTGGGGACAGTTTGGGGACAGATTGGGGACAGTTTGGCGAAATCGATCTCGGGTCGCGTTCGGTTTGAAACTCGGCAGCGAAGTCGAAGTCAACGGAATTCGTACGGGAGTTACAGTCGGTGGTCGACGGAATTCTTGTCGTAGAAATTCTCGTCTACGGAATTCCAGTCAATGGATTTCGTTCGGCGAAATTCAAGGCTCAGAATTTTGCGTCGACGAAATTCAACGTGCGACCCGGGTCGACACTTTCTTGTGTGCTTCTATTTTGTATTGCGTCCTAGTATAAAACCAGAAAGCACAAACCAGAAATTATCCAAGTCATTATCACTACTATGTTTGTGTGTATCTCTGGCTATAGTGGACGCACTCCAACTATCTGCGTCACTTCGAGTCATTTCTGTCTCTTCGTCTTCAACTTCGATACTGCGTGTCTCGTTAGCTACTGTCGGGAGTGCTCAGTGCCACTTCTTAATTTATCATTCGTAACGCAGGGCATATCAAATAACAACTCCTGAGATCACAGGTAAAAAATAACACCATTCTAAAATTTCAGGGCATATCTAAACCTGCATCTTGAAATAAGGCTAATCAGGATGTTTTATCGTGATACGGTATCGTGGGGCCTGATTACGGTAGCCCCACAATATCATGTTCGAATACAAAAGCACCTGATATTCGTTCATTACCATGAACAGGTGCTATTTATTTTGACATTCTTTAACGCCCTTGCTTATTTGCTTCGCACACTTCATTCCCTTGCTCAATTGCACTCATAATAGTAATGCTTTATTCTAAGCAATTAAGTTAACCATCAACGTAACGTCAAACGGAGCATTCAGAAATGCTGCAGATATTTGATACCTCGCTGATTGGCTCGCGGCGCCTGCCCGTCAGAGGCAGCAGCGAGCACACCCTCCCAACGAGAAATCCGGCTTTGGTTTTGTGCTCTGATCTGCTGTGCCCCATTTTGCTTCATTGCACTACAGACTAAGAAACCACTCATCACGCGCTGAATGATATGAAGAGCAGCTAGGGGCTGATGGCCTCGTACCGTACCTTGCGAAATAACTCATAGGCCGACGAGCCCTGTCGTCTTGGAACATACTCTTCATTGAACCCGTTGTTATTCTCTCAAGAGTCACAATCCAGAATGAAGCAGGAGGAGCACCAGGTAGCGAGCACGGACCACGTGCGTCTGTGCGTCAAGACATGGCCGGCGCGGCCGAGCTTCGACGGCGGGGAGTACGAGCAGCAGCAGAAGCAGGCGCTGCTGGCGGTCATCGTGCATCCCTACTCGCGCATGGGCGGCTCGCAGGCCGTTACGCAGGGCCTGGCGGAATGCCTGTGCCTGCGCGGGTTCAAGTGAGTTTCCGAGCATTTGCCTTCGAGGCTCCTGTAAGACTGAATCAGTAGTCGGCGTTTGCTGCTGGCGCGACCGGCGAGGGAGGGTTTGCGGAATGCTTGCGTGCGCGGGTTTTAAGGGGTTTACGATTCGCGTTCAAAAATGAGCTACATATTATGCGTTTTTTTTCGTAAGTGTGCTGAAACACATACTCGTTACAACCGTCGACACTGCTGACGTGGTGGCATACGCGCTCGACTTCTGGGCCGGCGTTAACCCAACTTTTGTGTGTTTAGGGAGTTAGGCGAGGTGGGAGCGGAATGAATGGAGAGGAGGGATTCGTTTCTCGGGATCGGCTCGCGGTGTCTTAATGCAAGCTCGTTACAGCACGCAGTATTACAATGTAGGTCCGCCTTCCCTCCTCCGTTCCTTCCTCATCTCTTCTCCTCTGCTCCTTCCCTCCCACGGCACCAACCCTCAGCCTCCCTCAACCCTCCACCACAGTTCGTCGTGGCGACGTTTGATTGGACGGGCGCAGGCAAGCCATTCAAGAAACCCACCAGCTACTGTCCTTTCTCGCTACCCTCTCCCCTACTTTCCCCACATACCACGACCCGTCAGCGTGATAACGTTTGATCTGATGGGCGCGGGCAAGTCAACCAACGACCCTCCAGCCGGTTACCTCTCTCATCGCCATCTCTCTTCCTCCCCCCTCCCCACACCCTCACGCCACACGCGTCAGCGTCGTAACGTTCGACCTGGGGGGCGCGGGCAAGTCAACCAATCGGGCCGTCAGCTGGTTAACCTCCCTTATCGCTCTCCCCCTCTCCCCTTCCCCACACCCGCATTCCACACACCCGCCAGCGTGGTGATGTTCGACCTGCGCGGCGCAGGCAAGTCGATTGACCCCCAGCTGGTTACCTCTTTATCGCCATTCTTCCCCCACCCCCCCCTTTCACACACCCCGCATTCTACACTCTACACAGCGTGGTGACGTTTGACCTGCGCGGCGCGGGCAGGTCGACGGGGCACGCGTCGTTCACGGGCGAGCCCGAGGTGGCGGACGTCATGGCCGTGTGCCGCTGGGCGGGGGAGGAGTACGCCCAGCGCATTCTGCTGCTGGGGTCGTCCGCAGGTGAGTGCGCGTGCTGCTGCTGTTGTCGCCCGCGGGTGGGGAAGTGGTGCAGGCTCCATAATTCCCTGGGACGATGGGACAGGCTAGCATGTAAAGTTATACAGGCTCACACCACCCTGCCGTCCGCACACCCTTATAGCTCTCTCCCATCCCTCTTCCCGTCCATCTCCCCATGTGCAGGAGCGTCCATTGCGGGGTCAGCCCTGCCGCAGCCCGCAGGTGGACCTGTACGTGGGCGTCGGTTTCCCCTGGCCCCTCACACCCACCCTCTCTCCCATCCTCTCCCCACTCCATCCTCATCCCCCTCTTCCCCATGCAGGAGCGCCCATTGCAGGCTCCGCACTGCCGCACTGCCCGCACTTCCCCCACCCCCCCCTTTCACACACCCCGCATTCTACACTCTACACAGCGTGGTGACGTTTGACCTGCGCGGCGCGGGCAGGTCGACGGGGCACGCGTCGTTCACGGGCGAGCCCGAGGTGGCGGACGTCATGGCCGTGTGCCGCTGGGCGGGGGAGGAGTACGCCCAGCGCATTCTGCTGCTGGGGTCGTCCGCAGGTGAGTGCGCGTGCTGCTGCTGTTGTCGCCCGCGGGTGGGGAAGTGGTGCAGGCTCCATAATTCCCTGGGACGATGGGACAGGCTAGCATGTAAAGTTATACAGGCTCACACCACCCTGCCGTCCGCACACCCTTATAGCTCTCTCCCATCCCTCTTCCCGTCCATCTCCCCATGTGCAGGAGCGTCCATTGCGGGGTCAGCCCTGCCGCAGCCCGCAGGTGGACCTGTACGTGGGCGTCGGTTTCCCCTGGCCCCTCACACCCACCCTCTCTCCCATCCTCTCCCCACTCCATCCTCATCCCCCTCTTCCCCATGCAGGAGCGCCCATTGCAGGCTCAGCCCTGCCGCACTGCCCGCAGGTCGACCTGTACGTGGGCGTGGGCTACACCTTTGGCTTCTTCTCCTCGCTGCTCTTCGGCTCGCACTTCTCCACCGTGCTCGCCTGGCCGGGCCCCAAGCTCTTCATCATGGGCGCTAAAGACGAGTTCACGAGCACAAAGCAGCTGGAGGCACGGGCAGGGAAGGCGGTGGGCGTGGCGAAGGTGAGCATTGTGGAGGGCGTGGGGCACTTTGGGCTGGAGGGGCCCGCGTATGACGAGGAGGTGGCCAAGCGCGTGGGGGAGTTTGTCGCTGAGAACGCCGGTGCTGGTGCTGGTGGTGGAAGGGGAGGAGAAGTGGGTGCTGGTGGGGAGGAGGGAATCAAGGAGAGTGATAGCTAGGTGTTGCTGTTGAGGAGCTGATGTAAGACGACGGCTAAAATTTTGTCGGGGAGTTCATTCATTGCTCAGTTGGTGTTTGGGGATGGTGGGGAGGGGAAATCTGATAAATAGAGCAGTCGAATGGTAATGATATACATGCTGCCTGAGAGTGCTCTCTTGGCATCTGATTTGGGCGTTTAGTTAATGTTAACAATTAATGTGATTAGTTTCCTTCACCTTTTTTGTGTAAGCTATTACGAAAGGGATTCTTTCAGGTGATGTATTTTCCTAGATATTTACCTTGCCGCTTATCTAACCCACTCCCTTCTCATGGTATTGGTATTAGCCTTCTCCTTTTATGGGTGAGATGAACCCTTACAAACAACATATTAAAGAGTAACCTTTAATATTTTTCGTTTAACTCGATGGGTATATTCTTAGGCTTAGTGTACCTGGACCCAACAGCCCTGCCCCGACAACTCCACGTTCCCGCGTCTCCCACAAACGCTACCCGTTGCACTTACGCGGCTTGTCCGCACATGCCACACACAACGAACAGTGCAGAGCAGATGCACCCACTCCGCGCCAGCCTCAGTATACTCGCTAGTGTAAATACCACACGCACCGCACATAGTCCTCGCGTTGCGCTTTAGCATGTTGCGCCAGCGACGCGTCCCACCTCCGCTGTCGTTCCCCGTTCCCCCTACGTTTCGCGTCTCGCGAGTGACGCGTGTCAGTGACACTCGCGGCAATTTAGCTAGCTCGCAGACGCTTGCCGTGATCCGTAAAATGCTTCAGAGAGGCTCGTGTCGCGCCGAGGCGAGAGCACCAGAGACGAGACGAGCACCGGGGTGTGAGCGAGCAGCGGCGCGGCACAGCGGAGAGAGTAGCAGACTTGTAGGGAACATGTAGTAGCGACCGCCACTCGCTTGCACCATGTCAGGTCAGTCCCGCTCCACCGCTCTCCACCGCTCTGCCCGTCCTTCGGAAGAGAGCAACAGCCCGCTCTTCACCGCTGTCGTAGCGCCCCTCGTCGCTCTCTCCGTCGAGACCCGTGTCGCTTCACGATCGCGCGGCGCGGAAGGAAAGCTGTTCCGCGAAGGCGGAAACCACCCCTTGCGTGCTACGGAGTGCGTGCAAGGGCGGAGATGGTTGCGGGGAAAGCGTTGCGCCCACTCGAGTCTGCCCCTCTTTCTACAGAGATCGCGGCGCTTACGTCCCCCCCGCTCCCCCCCCTCGCCCTCCCGCACCTACCTCTTTCCGCCCTCTCTCCCGGCGAAGCCTGCCCCTCCGCGGTCCTTCCCTCGCGCGCATGTCCCCCGCAAGCCTGCGCCAGTGCATCTCGACGTTCCTCATGCGCGCCCCCTTTCCCCCCTTCCCCGCCTTCCTCCCCTTCCCCCCCACCTCTCCGCCTCACCTCTCCCCCCTCTCAACCCTCTCACCCACATCTCCTCGCGCGCCTCCCGCCACGTCCATGCTCCCCCCTGCGCCCATGCGGCCATGCGCTCAGGTGCCTGTCAGGCCTGCGCCAGCACATCCAACGGCGCTCAAAACGCCATCATCCCCTTCCCTTCCCCCCCCTTCACCCCCCCCCTCCCCCCTTCCCTTCTCTCCGCGCCCCTCTCTGCCCCCAGCATGCGCCAGTGCGTTATACGTTGCCTGCCTTAGCTCCACTTTCCGGGCCCCCTTCCCCTCTGAGTCTTCCCTCCCTCCTGCCCCGTTCACCCTTTTGCCTTCACCAGGCCGTCTGCGCCAGTGCATTGCTCCGCGGGTGGTACTCCGCCTCCTCACCCCCTTTCCGCTCCCCCTCCCCCCCACCAGGCCGCCTGCGCCAGTGCATTGCTCCGCGGGTGGCGTGCGGATTCGCCTCCAGCAGCGACGATGAGGGGGAGGGCGGCGACGCTGGGCACCCCAGGGGGCGCGGAAGGAGGGGGGGCGCGGGGGGGAAGGGGAAGGGGAGGCGCGGAGCACCCGGGGGGCATGGTGGCGCGGGGGGGAGCTCCCGCCACCCGTCCCTGCGGATTGGCCCTCCAATGGACGTGCGCCAGGTGGCATATCCACACGAGCCTGCCACGTTGGACCCCCTGAATGGCGGCCTGGGGGCCATGGGCATGGGCATGGGCATGGGGATGGGGATGGGGGGAGTGCAGGGACAGCTGGTGACGCTGGCGCTACCCATAGTGAGCTACAGCAGGTGCGTGGCGCTACCCATAGTGAGCTACAGCAGGTGCGTGGCTCTGCCGTCTGCCTATAGTCCACCCACATGGGTTCCTCCCTTCACTCTCCCGCCCTCCACTTCATTCATTTCCCACCTCTTGCTGTCCACATTCCTGCTGCTTCCCTCACATCCTCCTCTCTTCCCCACTGTACGAACATCGCCTACCACACCTTACCAGTCCTTCCCTTCCCGCCCTCTCCCCCACAAACTCTACCCCCCCAGTTCCAAACACTGTTCCAAACCAAACACCCTTCCAAACACGGTTCCTGTCTCTGTTCAGTGTTTTGCGGGGGGGGCAAGATCTAGCGGGGAGCAAGATTGTGCAGGGCGTGTTTGGGAAGGCCCCTCATGTGTCAACATCCCATACACTCCCCCTTCCGCTCCCCCCCTTCTCCTCGCCCTCCTCTTCCTCTCTCACCGTTGTGAATGCCCTGTGCGCACATCAAGATAGCCCCCTCTGTGCCAACATCCCATCCCATATGGCACCCCCGTGTCCCCTCTCTTCTCCCCCCTCTCTCCCTGTGCGTGCAGCAAGATTGCGGTGGGCGTGCTTGGCGAGGCACCGGAGGACCCTGCCGTGTTCGTACGACGACTATGGCAACTCCCTCCCCCCCCCCCCCCCCCCTCCTCTCCTCGTCTCTCCCCATCACCATTGTGAATGCTCTGTGCACAGCAAGATAGCGGTGGGTGTGTTTGGAGAGGCCCCGGAGGATCTGCCGTGTTCGTACGACGACTATGGCAACCTCGTGCCCAACGTGCTGCTGCAGCTGCAGGCGCTGCTCATCCACAAGGGCGGGTTGCAGGTGGGGGCGAGAAGAAGACAGGTGGTTGTTGCAGGTGGGGTTGGTAGAATGGGAGTGCTGCTGCAGGTGGGTTGGGGGGGTTGATGAATTTGCTGATGCACCTGCACTCCTTGACTGGCAGGCACACATTCATGAGGGCAGCATGTGGTCGGGTTGGAATGGGATGGCCTGGCCTGGAGGGCACGTCACTGCCATTAGCAGCTGCCATCTCGCCACATATGGGATGCGTAATGTGTTTCATCACCTGCTCCCGTTCTTCCGCTCTAATCCTCCACTCCCATTCGCCCCCATCAAGCCAGTGTCTCTTCAGCCGGCCTGCGGGGCGTCGAGGCACACCCACTCCCTCCTCACCTCCCTGTGTCGCTCCATCTTTTCAACATCCCTCTCGGCAAACACCCCCACTCCCCCCTCGCCGCGCCCATCAGACGGAGGGCATATTCAGGGTGGGAGTGGTGGAGGCGGTCAGAGAGGAGGCAGTTAAGGCAGCAGAGAGTGGGGTCTATCCATGCTTCGCTCTCACCCTTTTCCTCGCCCTGTGTCGCTCCATCGTTTCTACGTCCCTCTTGGCAATCCATCCCACTTCGTTTTCAGACGGAGGGCATATTCAAGGTGGGAGTGGACGCGGGCAGGGAGGAGGCAGCCAAGGCAGCTGTGAATGCGGGGCAGATCCCGCCCTCCACTGATGTGCACTGCCTGGCAGCGCTTATCAAGGTGAGGGGAGGCTCTTATCAAGGTGAGCGGCAGAGCTTATAAAGGTGGCATGGCATGTGTGGTGTGCAGTTACAGCAGCATGTGTGTCGCATAGTGGCAGTGAGTGAGAGCAGCAGTCAGGGCGTGGCAGGTGTTATGCTGCCGCATTCACATCCACCACCACCACCACCACGCACTGCCTGCCCGCCTGCCTGCAAGCCTGCCCACCCGCCCGCCCCCCGAGTGCGTGCGTGCCTGCCTGCCTGCCGGCGCTGGTCACATCAACACAGGGCCGTCTGCTACCTCTGTGTTGGTGTCACTTTTGAGAGCTCTCAAAAGCAACACCGAGAATTCTCAAGTGGACACATCAACACATGGCCATCTGCTGCGTCTGCGGGGAAAGACGAGTTCGGTGTGAGACGCTTTTGAATGAAGGGATTGGATTCTTGAAGGAAAAAGAGAGTACAAGCTGAATAGAGAGAGCCGGTCAGAAGGCCCGTGGCGACAGGAGAGGGTGGCACTGGAGAGGGTGGCACTGGAGAGGGCGGCACTGGAGAGGGTGGCACTGGAGAGGGTGGCACTGGAGAGGGTGGCACTGGAGAGGGTGGCACTGGAGAGAGAGGTGCTGAAAGGGCCGGCTGTCTTCATCGCCCTCCTCTTCCTTTTGAGTCATTGAGTGCTTGCAGGGCAATCCAGGCTTGTCTTCATCGCCCTCCTCTTCCTCCACCTCTTCTCCTCTTCTCTCTTCCCCACCTCCTGTCCTCCCTCCTTTCCCCACCTCCCCTCCCCCCTCCGCCCTCCATACCCCAGGCCTGGTTCCGGGAGCTCCCAGACGGTCTCTTGGACGCGCTGCCGCTCTCGCTGCTCGCCTCGGCAGCGGACCCGCACAGCGAGGAGGGCGGCGGTGGCGGCATGGCGGACGTGCTGGGAGTGCTGCCGCCCGCCTGCAGCTGCCTGCTGGACTGGCTGCTCAACCTGCTCGTGGACGTCGTGGAGTGCCACCACCGCAACCACATGGGCGCCCGGGCGCTCGCACTCGTGTTCGCACCAAACCTCGTACAGGTAGGTGTGTGCCTGCTCTGCTCTGCCTGCCCTGCATGTGGCTGCCTGCTGGACTGGCTGCTCAACCTGCTGGTGGGCGTTGTTGAGTGCCAACACCGCAACCACATGGGCGCTCATCGCCTGCACGCTCTCACCAAACTCTCCTCGCCCGGGTCTCACCACACACCCGGGCGTTTGGTGAGAGCATGCAGCGGACCCGGGCGCTCGCGCTGGTCTTTGCGCCCAACCTCGTGCAGGTGGGTGGGCCCACGTTGACTTCTGAGTCGACTCAAAAGCCAACCTGCTCGTGGACGTGTTGGAGTGCCACCACCGCAACCACATGGGCGCCCGGGCACTGTGCTGCTCATGGACCTCCCAAAGGCGCTTGTACACCATCTCACACCACCCTCTCCCTTCCCCCTCCCTCCCCCTGCCTCCCCCCTGGCCGTCCCCTCCCCGTCACCTCCCCCCCTAACCAATCTCACCAATCTCTCCTCGCCCGGGTCCGCTGCACGCTCTCACCAAACCCTCATCGCCTGCACGCTCTCACCAAACTCTCCTCACCTTTTCCCCTCCCCTCCCCCTTTCCCCGTTCCCTGCCTGCCCGGTCGCCCCCTCCTCACCTAATCCTCCAACCAGGTGGGTGACCCCACCGCCAGTCTCAAGCGCGCCATACTGCTCATGGACCTCCCAGGCCCTCATCGCACGCACCCTCTCGCCACCCTCATACCACATTCTGCCCGCCCGCTTCCCCTCCTCCCCCCCCTTCTCAAACCAGGTGGGCGACCCTGCGGCCAGTCTCAAGCGCGCCATGCTCCTAATGGACCTCCTCGAAGCCCTCATCGCCCGCAAGCACCGCCACCGCCAGCTGTTCGCGCACCACTGGCCGGGCGGGGGCGGCCGCGGGGGCGCGTCTGTGCTGTCAGCGTCAGCGTCAGTTATGGACGAGTCAGAGGACTGGGAGGACACGGACCTGGATTCGTCGCTCAACTTCTCGCTGCTCTCAGGGGCGCATGGAGGGGTGGGGGGGTTGGGGGCGTTTGGAGGCGCAGCGGGAGTGGAGAGGCCGTTTGGGGCGGGTTCGGTTCGGAGCGGTGCAGGTGGTGGTGGTGGTGGTGGTGGTGGTGGTGGTGGTGGTGGTGGTGGTGCGTCGTTTGGGTCGGCGTCGGTTGTCCATAGCCCGCGCACTGCGCTGATGCTCAGAGCGCTGGCAGCGGCTGGGCTTGGCGTGGGGGGGAGGGCGGTGGGGGCCGGTGCGGGGGGAGAATGAGGAATCAGAGTGGGGAGTGGGAGAGTGAGAGTGTGGGAGTGCGGTCGGGGTATTCGTCACCCTCCCCTGCCACGTGGAGGGGAGGGTTTGCTCTGAGGGCAGGGCGGTCGTGGGCTGTGGGTAGCGATGGGGGGGAAGGGCTCGGGTCAATCTCTGAGCTGTGCCCCCTAGAGGATGGGGAGGAGGATGGTGAGGGCGATGGGGAGAGGGATGGGGAGGGTGGGCGGATGGAAGGAGGATTGGAAAGTGAGGGTGTGGAGGGAAGAGAATGGCTGAGTGGGACGAGAAAGAGTGGGGATGGGATGGGGAGGAACGGGGGGAGAGCGGGTGGAGGGGTGGAGGGAGTGGAGGGACTGGCAGGGGCGGCAGGGGAGGGGCGTGGGGGGGACGGGCGTGGGGATGGGCATAGAGGAGAGGCAGGCAGTCGCTTGGCAGAGTGGCTGAGGAATATAGACGAGGCTGTGGGGGAGGGGGAAGGGGACGAAGCATTGGGGGAGGGGGAAGGGGGAGGGGAAGAACCAGAGGGGGAAGGTGAAGACGACGAAGCGGAGGGGGAGGGGGAAGGGGAACTAGCGGCTGAGGTAGAAGTACAAGAAGCAGAAGCAGGGGAGGAGGACGAGGACTTGGTAACTGCAGGGACAGGCATGGATGAGCGTGAGTGTGTGGAGGAGGAAGAGGCAGAGGCAGCAGCAGAAGCAGCAGTGTCACCAACACTCGCTTGTGACTTTCCGCTTGCAACAAAAGCTGTGTTGCCCCTGCCACAGGGGGCGGATGCATGTAGTGATGGTGATGGTGGTGATGGTGGTGATGATGGTGATGGTGGTGATGCTGACGATGGCACTGCTTGTGGAGATGAGAATATGGATGGGGATGGGGATGGGGATGGGGATGGGGATGGGGATGGGGATGGGGATGAGGATGAGGATGAGGATGGCGATGAGGGCAGTGGTTGCAGTGATGACGTGGATGGTGCAGAAGCTAGAGATCATCACACCTCTGCGTGGCCTCCAGGTGGCGCTGCCAACACTGACAGCATCGCTGCCAACACTGACAGCATCGCTGCCAACACTGACAGCATCGCCGCTGCTGTTGACGATTTAAATTCCGAAGCAGAGTTTGATGCCGAGGTTGATGGTGATGGTGATGGTGATGGTGATGGTTGCGAGCACGGCACTCATCCTGCCAGTGCCGCCACCACTGCTTCTCATGAGGCTTCGATGCAAAAGCAGGTTTCAGTTTCCGACTCCCCTTCGGACGCTCCTCACCAACTCTCTTCTTCCCAACCTCCATTTCCTCCCTCCACTCTTCCACCTGCCACCCCAGCTGCCTCGCTCCTGCCTGCCACGGACCTCTCTGCTCCACCCGCTGCTACTGCAGACGCCACGCAGAGTGCTGCTGCACGTGCCGCTGCCTCTTCTCCCCTCCTTGCCAGCATGCTCCTCGTGCTCGCTGCCATGCACACCACCCCTCCCCTGCACCCCGCCCCACCAGCCTCAACACCTCTTGTCCCCAATCCCGCCGCTTCTGCTGCTGCTGCTGCCGCAGACCCTGCAGCGCCATCCCAAGGCCCCACGGACCCTCCTCTTGCGGCCGCTCTGCCCGCAAAGAATTCGTAAAGACCGCAAAGATGCATTCAGCTGACTCCGAATTTCCTCTGAGCCGGCTCCGAATTTCCTCTGAGCCGGCTCCGAGCCGGGAGGAGCTGGCTCCGAATTTCCTCTGAGCCGGCGTACTTCTCGATGGCGTTGCTGTCACAGTCAACCGCCGGCCAGTCTGAAAAACTCGCAGAGCAATACTCAGCTTGGCTCGGACGAGGTTCCTACGCAAAAACCAGAGCTCGTCCACGGTATGAGCCGAGCCGGGAAGCTCGCCTCGTTGCACGCACCTTCGTCTGACTAACCTACACGAGGAAGATCCGAAGTTTGAACACGTATACGGCACGGCTGCTGCTAGTGTAGGCTCGATCTGCATTCTCGTTGTCCTGAAGCACTCGTGTTTGTTGCCCACCCTAGGCAAACGCGAACATGTTCCTGTTCAGCCAGCCGCGACGAACCGAACACAAACATGTTCGCCTTCGAACACTAAGGGCAGAAAATTTACCCTGTCCAGTTCGTCTCGAACGTGTGTTCGCCCTGTTGCTCAACCCTACCAAAGAGTAATCATCTGACGGTTTCCATCAACTGACCTGGATCTGTAGACCATTCTCAGGAACATTCATCAGCATGGTTCTTCTCATCGCATGTGACTCCTGAGGCTCATATTGTTTGGTAACGAGGCAATGCCCTTGTGCTTCTCCATGCTATAACCCCACGGGTTGATTTTTCCCCTGTGCATTCAAATGCAATGACAGGTCTTTCAGGAATAATCAGCTGACGGGTTCCATCCCTGCGGAAATTGGATCAGTACCATCTCTCGCATCGCTGTAAGGCTCCCCTCTGCCCCAACTCCGCGCAAAGGTCTAGCATTTTCCCTCCACATGGATGGTGGGTACAATCAATGAACCATCTAGACAAGCCTTCCATGGTTCTGCGACGAGCCGACTGCTCATGGAGCCAAATTCCGGGTATTCTGCACAACGTCACAAGCCCTCGTGAATCATCGCTTGACTCGCCGTGCTGATGAGCTAAGCCAACAAGCAGAACCGTCAGTTTAAACTTGAGCTTTGTGCTTCTTAAAAAAAACCATGGGAGCAAGGAGGGAGGGGGTATTTTTGGCAACAACAAGCACAAAGGATGATTTGTTTTCCCAAGATTCTCCGTGTACTTACGTAGGGCTGCTGGAATTCGCTTCTACAATAGGATCCGCTCAGGAAATACCGGCCGGCGGCATCCGTCTGATTGGAAGTCGCCATGCCTATAACATGCCCTTAGACTAAGCTGGCGCACTCTAGGGTTAGGAAGCTAAAAAGGGTCGTTTAACTAAGGTACGAGCAATTGACGACCTCTTCAAGAGATTTGTATCTCTGTTGGGTGTCGACCCAACTTGGATGTGTAGATACAATGCGGTTGAGATGTGATCTGGTTGTGCTGCGTTTTTTGCAGGACAGCGACGTAGCTGGCATCGAGATCGCCCTTCAATTCCGCGCGGTTGATCGTTTTTGGGGGGCAGCCCAAAAACTTATCGTCCCAACGTCCAGCGTCCGACGCGTGCGGTGCGTGCAGCGTTTTGACGCAAACGTCCGAACGCTGGACGTGCCATCGCTGGAATGTCCAATCCTACATAGATGCTGAGACATTTTGCTGATGAGCAGTTGAGGGGAGAATCACGAGAACGAGGGGAAGGGTGGGGAAAGAGGACGGCTACCAGGGGAAAACAACAACCAGCTGTAGCGGATGAGAAGGGAGAGGTGGAGGAAAGGGTGAGAGGGAATGGGACAGAAGGGAAATAAAAGTGGAGGAGGGTGGGGCAGAGTGAGCTGGTGATGACGTGCAAAGAGATGCAGGGAAGCACTCGAGAGGAAGGGGAGGGCGCACGATGACGGAAGATGGGGCTTGCTCTGCGGGATATGCAACTAGTGCAAGGCGCGCGCTACGGGATAACACAGGGCGTGCGCACGCGCGATGCTCACGAGTGACGAGGTAAAGCAGGGCACGCACGAGGATGGTGCAGGGCGGAAGAGCGGGCAAGGGGGGTTTGGGGGCGGGAAGAAGTGGGAGGGCGCGGGACTAAGGTAGGAGGACGCGCTGCTGCTGAGGGCGGATCCGCGATATAGGGAGGAAGAAATCGCGAGAGCAAGAGGTAGTAAAAAAGCTTACACTAAACTCTAGGAACGAGGTCCAAAATGAACCTAAACTGAACGAGAAATGAAATAAGTCTAAACGCGTCGAGGAAAAAAATCAGGCCTGAATAAGGTACAGAGCGAAGACTACCTACTCCAACAGGACATGGTAGGTTGGTGGAGAAGGACGATGGGGAACAGGGTGCCGAGGAATGTTGGAGTTAAATCATGCCATGAGCTCCAGCTTTCAATTGCGCGACCCTAAAATGATAGCTCGCAAAGTTTTTAACCAGCCCAGTTTGACTGTCGACAGGCCTGCAAAATCGAACCTTGCCTTTTTGCTGGGCCGAACCCGATCCCGCCCAACCAGGGCCGACTGGCCAAAACCAAAGGTCCGTACAGGGGCCTGCTTATGCCAAGAGCAGATGTCGGATGAGGACAACTAAGCTGGCAAGGCGTATTGCGTTTGTACGCTGGCGTATATACGCAAAAACGCGATACGCTAGGGATACACTCGGACTTGCTCATCCCTAGGGCAGCCCGTCGAAAAAAAAAAAAAAAAAACATAAAAACGGGAACCGCGAGTTGCGATGCGGAACAATCTGTGAGAAACATCGCGATCTCCATTTGGGCTCCCAAACTTGGATTTCGAAAGCTTTCAAACGCTTTGAATCTCAGCACACCTCTCAGATTCAGCCCATCCATCCCCACCAAGGAAGCCACGCACAGCGTTGCAGGCACAAAGATGAGCTCGAAGCAACCTACGCATTCCTCATTTTTGTAGTTGACCTTCACGCATCGCTTTCTATAGCATGCGCTAAGCTTAATCCGCTCCAGCCATATCTACCCCCTCAAGCACTCCTGCGAGTCCACGTAGGTTCGAATTGCGTCCGCGGAAGGTTCCACCGCGCTGGTGTTTCAGGAAGATAGCGATCATCTCTCATTTTCAGGCACTTTTGCATTTATATCCACGAGAATCCCACTCCAGAAAAAAACAGCCAAATGGATAGGTGTGGGTGTATAGCACCTTCTCCCCCTCCCCTCTCTAGTAATCTGTATGTTACCCTGCCTGGAAAAGTTTTTATGCTGCCCGCCCCTCGTATTTCAAGCGAATTTTGACATCCTCTATGGACATATTGCGTATTATACTCTAGCGTATACACGCGTGCGTACAAAACGCGAGACGCGTATATTCCAACTTAGGTGGACAACACGTTGGTAGCTGACAACTCAGTTTTCGTACACTCGTCCTGAGTTTTGGCACCTGCTTCTGGCGAAGGATACGGAGGTTTTCTAGCGCGTGCCAGCAGGTCATGGCTCAAGATTATCACGGTCCTGCCCTGCCTAACTTGGTCAACCCACCTAAACCTCCCAAACCAGACTGCAGCCTAACACATTGCTCAACCCTACTGTCGTGTACCTTCTGCCATGGCTTCAGGGCTCCATTATGTTTCTCTCTTTCCTCCAGACATCTCGTCTTTACAATGAATTATTCTCCCCTAGCTCAACAATTCCTTCATTTTAAGCTTCTTGCCTTTGCCCGTATTTAGGCAGCACAAACGCTTTTGGCTCGTATCACATGCCCCTGCTGACTTTTGCATTCCACGTTTTTTGCCTTTGCAACTCTCACATCACTTACCGTCATATCTGCACTGCACATTCCCTTCAGGTATCTTTCTGAAAATCAGCTCACTGGCTCTATCCCTGCAGAGATTGGCTCAATGAAGAGATTGGAGCTTCTGTAAGAATTGTCACAGTGGGTCCACACTAGGGATGAGCAAGGGGCGAACACGAACGTGTTCGCGTTCGCCCCTGCACGAACACCGCCGTTCGGCGAACTGAACACTGTTCAGTTCGCCGAACATCTTTTAGGAAAAAGGGTGTTCGGTGTTCGCCTGTGAAGGCGAACATCTTGCAGGCACAGGCGAACACGAACGTGTTCGTGGCAAACACGTTCGTGTTCGCCCAGGGACAACCTTCACTACAATCACACATGGCAAATAGGGATGTTGGCCCTGCCAGATGTTTGGTAGGGGGGTTACGGGTGTTGTGGTGGAGAACTGTGGTGTTCTACTACTCCACTGTGTACCCTTAGACGTTCTATGATGGAGTAGTGATGCTCCTATTACTCCTTGGTACGGGCGCTAGTGGGCTTTAGGGGCCTGGCGCTAAGGTCGCGAACGGTATAAGCTTGAAAAATGAGCTCAGACACATTGACCCGCGACCTTAACATTGTCCCAGCAGGCGCCCCATTTTCACACCCCTTCGCCTTCAATCTTAAGTTCTCTTCTGTGGAGATAACTACTATAACGTGAGCTAGACTACGGGCTAGGCACGGGTGCTCGAGTGATCTCTGCGTTCGTTGGTCCTTAGTCGTTTTCCTAGTGCATACACTGCTTGCTAGTTCACGGGGCAATTTGGCAAGAGTTTAACTAGAGAAAGTTGACAACAATGGTAACAACAACATTGGCACAACAGACTACATCAGAGTTTGCTAGGCTGCTGGTCGACCTCTAGCGCAGCACGGTCGACCGCGCTCCAGCGCAGCAGTGCTCGCACCGCTCCAGCGTTGCAGAGTAACGGTGCGCCAACGTTCCATGTCCATGGTGTGCCAGCGCTGCAGCAAGTCGGCTGCACATCGTTGCACCCGCAGGACAACGGTGCACCTGCTTCGCATGTGCGTGCATCTGGTTGGTGCTTCTCGCCTTGTCACGGGCACAGCGCAGACGCCCAGCTCGATTCCACGCCAACGGCTGCGCCCACCAGCCACGTCGACCTCGGGATACCACCCCCGAGGTCGGCCTCGCAGATGCCACCCCGGCGACCTTCGCACACGTCGCCCGGGTATCCCGGTCGACCGGGCAACCATGCCTGGTCGACCAGCTGCTCCTGTATGTG